GTGGTCATTGTAGATAATCGATAGAAATTGGAAGCTCCTGAATCCGATTCATCAGAGTCTTCATTATTTTCAGATCTGGAACCATTTTTATTCTTTCGATTATTTGCCTTGTGTTTTCTTAATACAATGTCTAACCGACTTCCAACTTCTTCAAGTTCAGTTCTTAATTCAGCTATTGTCCTTTCACGAGCTTCTGCTGCTGTATCATCAACTTTAGCTTTAAGTTCTTCAATTTCTTTATCCTTTCGTTTTATGGCCATTCTGGCTTCTACTAGTGTCTGACGAACATTATTTAATGACTCCTCCAAAATTGAAACTTTTTTCAACAAACCATCATCCCGTACGTTACTTTTATCATTGTTATTATTAATTCCCATGATTTCATTAAATAAACTATCAATTCCGTTGCTATCTTCCACCGATTTTTGTGGTGAATAAGGAGGTTGTGAGCTTTTTTCTTCCAATTTTCGTATTCCAATGCTAAGTACCCCAGCCATATGCTGTAATAATTTTCTTTGAACTTCACCAGCTCGTTGTGTTAATTTCCATAATTCTGTCGCAACTTGATCTACTTTACGATTTGCCGTAGCTAAATGATCTGTCGCTTGTCTTGACAACCTTTTATTGGACGCATGAAGTCTTGCAAGTGAACTAGCCGCTTCCCGAATTTTTGATTCCAATGAAAGCTTTGAAGTTAATGCTGCGATGCGAGTTGTTAATAATGAATGATCCTAGAAGGAAAAAAAAAAAGATTATAATTCATTAATAATTCTGAAGCTCGAAGTACAGACTATTTAGTACTCAATGCTTGCCCTTTTGAGTTCCTCAACTTCTTCTAAATTCAATATCTCGAAATCTTTTGAATCAATAACAGATTGCGAAATCAAAATTTGCATCAACATTTCATCAGCCGTGTCCAAGAAAGAACTTCCTGGAAATTTCGGAGTATTCAACGAAAGTATAGCTTCAGAAGAAGCGATCAGATCGCTGGCAATAGCTAATGATGGTAATTTAATTTTGGGAGATTGAGGTGGAGAAGTATTGCTGTTATTTATGTCTGAAGGTGTAGGAAATCCTATTGAGGTGGGGGAGTTTGCGATCTGGAAACTTTGTTCTGAACCATTTTTCTTTGAATTAATCGTTTGAAGTGATTTAATAGAACCTTCATATTCTTTATTAATCCGTTCATTTGGCAAGGAAGGTAATTCGCGTTCCAAAGAAAATGCAGAATGTAACGAAGTAGTATCTACAGAGGGACGTGAACGTATAGTGGGAGTTTTCGATGTATTTGTAGAATTAGAAGTACTTTGAATTTGCACAGATGATGTGCTTGTTATCGTCATTGTACTCATAACAGGTTGAACAATAGTAGTTTGTGCAGAACCACTTATAGGTGTAGCAGGGGCATTTTGGTTTCCATTAACTGAGCCGTTTGAAGCGCTATGCCTTAACGGTGATTTTGCAGGAGCTCTTGGAGCTTGGTTTAAGAAATTTGGCTCAGTTGGTTTATTTGTTTTCGAAAGCGACGTTGAGGTTTGCGAAGAAAACGAAGGTTCCTCATGGTTTCGTTCTGAGACTACAGGTACTGGTTTTCGTCTTGCAAACGAAGAGCTATTATTATTTAAGGAAGACATTCTTTAACATAAACTATCATTGAAACTTGTAGGGGACAAAAAGAAAAGGGATAAAGTAAATTTTTATGAATGTTCCTTGCAATTAAGAAACAGAAAATTTTTATTTTTGAGGTGAAACTAAACTATATTGATAAGATTTAATCCCATTTTAAAAAGGACTTAGAATCAACTCCAAGTTGTTACACCAGAATTAAAATTTTAACCAAGTAAATGCTATGCAAGGATGAATGCTAAATAAAATCTTATAGGACATAATTTGAAAGCCAATCCAAACTCGGTGTAACGTCTCGGCATATGAAATCTTGAATGAAATGGTATGAGATTTATCGTTGTCACATTTTTTGTTTAAAAAAATTATGGTCGTAATGGACGGGAAAAAAGTCACAGTCACCTGTAAGAATAACCAATTGCGTCATGATTTTTTTATTGCTGTGGACTTTTTTTAATGATTCTGATTAAATCCTTAGATACTGATGAATTCGGTATTTGGCAACATCTTGCTGACGAATTTCGACAACACTTTCCTCTCCGAAATTTACACTGGAAGTCGGCAAAAGGTCCTTTGCGTAATATACAAGTTTTGGGCATAGAACTAAAACGGTTTAACCCAGATACAACAGAAAAGTCTCACATGAACCCCGAAACTTTACTCGAAAAACCATACCTTAATTTATATTTCGTTAATTGTGATGTGAGTATTAAATATCTTGGTTATTGTACGTAGATCTTTTGCCTTTTATTAATTAAGGTCGATTTGAAAATTAGGATAATGAAAAATATCGTCAAATAGTCAAGAATAAAATTCGGGAATGGTTAAACATTGTGGATTCTAAACGAAAACAAGAATGGCTAATTGTTTATGTTACCAAACAAGAAACGATGAGAAATGCCGCTAGATATTTTATGAAAGGGACTGTTTTTGATAAGATCAAAGCAGATTTTAATTCATCAAGACGTGAAAGGTAGAGGGAGGATTTTTTCTCTTTTTTTTTTCCTTAAAAAAAAAAACCTTTATCAAGATTTTTATATAATCTTTATTATTAGATGTGTACAATTAAGATTATCTGAAAATGATTCTGAGGATTATGAAGCTTGGCAAGAATTAATAACTAAAATAAAAGAAGGGATCTTGTGTAGTTTTGATCAGCATGTGATAACTTATGAAGAAGAAATTAAAATGTTCGACTCTCAAAGAAGCTTGGTCGGATGGAATTATTGTAGATCTTTTATTTTAAAGGTATATTGAAAATACCTAGAGTCTTTTTTTTTTAATTGGCAACAAATATTAAATTATTTATTTTAGGAAAGATTGGCCTTGACCTTTGAAATTATGAATTTATTTGAGGAAGCTTTAGTTCAATATGATGAACTAGAGGCATCGTTTTTTCAAGTTTTGAAAGGTTTAGTGTGGTTTGCACGTATAAAATTTCTTTGATATTATCCTTTTCTTATTTATTATTTAATTTAGACAGGGCACTTGCTTGGTTTGGTAGCTTTGGTGCTACGGACCCAAATGACGATAGTGATAATATCTTGGATATTAAAAAGAAACAATATAGAGATCTTATAATGCAAAATACAATTCCTGAATTTGATTTCAGATGTTATCTTTTTGCGAGGCAATGTCAATTATTAGGGAGGTTACATAGACCTGTTGATATATGTCGGAGAGCGCAATTTTTCATTTCAACCTTTGGCAGGGCAATTAAAGAGCATCAAGCAAAAATGGGAGAACATTTTTTAGAATCATGGATCTTTTCATCCTGTATGAGTGTTGTTAACGAGTGTGAGGAATTGGCTCCTCTTACTTCAATGGATGAATCAAGCTCGATCGCATTCAACGCTGCTAAGGGGGAGTTATTAGACTTGGCAAGAAAACAGGTTGCTCATTTTTATACTTCCTTTGTATTCATATATTCATTAAATTTTGGGTAGTACGTTGCTGAATTATTAAACCGAGATGACTTATCAACAAATAGACTTGTTACAAATTTGATCTTGAGGAAAATTTACGGATAATTTGGATGAATTTATGAATACGCTCTTTTTTTTAAAAGAATTGCTTTTTTTTTAAAAAATAAAAAACCCTAATTTTTTTTTCAACACGTCAACATTTTTTGATAGCTAGATAAAATCGGAATTTATTACGAACATTTGCCAGCTTCGCTTCCGTTTACAGCATCACTGGGTGATGTAAATCTTCCAGCTATAGATGAAGAGGGTAAAGCTAAAAAAATTTTCACTATTACTAATAAGGAATTGCAAGAAGCCATTAATTCGCAAAATGATTTTGATGTACTTTATTTAGTAAGCAATATAATGTAAATTTTTACTTTTATTATTGTATTATATTATAGTAACTGACATCGAATCATATCTTGTTTTACAAAAAGTCGTTAACAAATAGAGCACTTAGAGCTTATGAATGTAGTGCACGTCTTCGAAGTGTATTGCGGCTACAAGGAGATGTTGCAGCATTACATTTGTACGTTGATTCCCGTATTTTTTAATTTCGGAGATATTTTTTTATTCATATATTTATAAGAAATGAATTTTTTTTAGTCATCGTAAACAATATGACGACGCTGTACAGGTGATGGAAGATATTCCATGGCGTTATGGAGAACAAGGATGGACAGTTGTCGAAAACAATCTTTTATTCAAATTTGCCGCATGCCAAAAAGAATTAGGCCAAACTAGAAAATATCCTAATTCTTTATTTCCTCAAAAAATAAAATTATACAAAATTCGTCTTTTAATTCTATCTTTAACATTTTAATTTGCTAATTTAATACTTATGTGTGCTCGTGTTTGTCATTATTAAAGAATTATTCTTTATTGACAAGTGAC